CTGCAGAGAAATGTGCGTTTGCGAATGCCGACTCTAATCGTGCAGATACCGAGAGGGGTGACGACGTGCCCGCCGGCTGTACGGATTCGTGTCCCGTACCACGGCGTACCCACTTTCTTGAGATGCGTCGCCAGTTTTCTGCTCATGATGGAGTAGTCGGCCCCTGTGTCTAATAAAGCTGTAATATCGTGGCGGCCGTCGAGCACTACAGGTATATCTAGGGAAAGTCGGCTTTCTGATTCGGGAGCTGTCGTCGTTGAACCACTGCTGGTACGTACTCGCATGGATTGGGGCCCTTGTTCGTGTCGTTTATCAGCGGCCCCGCCCCCGAAGGTCGCTGTCGTTAGTTTTCCCGCCTAGGGCTGAGCGGCCGTGCTGGCGCCGCCCCTGGGTAGTTCGGGACACTTGACGAAGACCTTCTTGGAGATGGTGATCGTGACTGGCGCCGCGGGAGCAGTGGCATGCGCTGCTCGGACAGGTACTCCTCAATCGCTCTGGGTCTTTCGCCAAATCTTGGCCTGGGTGAGTCGACGGCGAAACCCTGAAGTCCGAGGCGACGGTACTGGCATTCGCGGTACACGTGTCCGGCTTCGCCACAGTGGTAGCACAGCGGCCGCCTGTCCGGTGTGCGCCATACGTCCGATTTCCGCGGGAGGAGCTGCCGATTCTCGAAATGCTGGACTGGTTGAACTGCTGGGAGTGGATCGCGATGTGCAGGGTGTACGAAACGGCGTGGAGGAGCGTAACGACTCGCAGCTTCGGCGTACGATGCAGGAGCGACGTAACAGCTCACAGCCTCGGCATAAGATGCACGGTGAGGCTCGATCGGTACAGGCGGGGAAGCATCGTTGGACAGCGGGACTTGCAAAGCCTGCTGTACTTCACTCCTGATGAGGCTGGAGATGGATCCCGCAGCAGGTGGAGGCGGCCCGTGAATCTTCTGCAGCTCGTCGCGTACCACCGATCTGATGAGGTCGCAGAGAGCTTCGAGATTGACGTTACTCCCCGCAACTCCAATCTGGTCCACCGGCGAGGCAACATTCACGTGGCGGTCGTACACAGCTGATCGCTGCTGCAGCATGTTTTCCATTGTCGTTGCTTCAGTTAAAAACTCTGCCACAGTATTCGGGGGACTTCGCACGAGACCAGCGAAGAGTTGCTCCTTAACTCCTCGCATTAGGTGGCGCAACTTCTTGTCTTCTCCCATACCTGGGTCAGCGCGACGGAAAAGGCTCGTCATGTCCTCCACGTACGCCATCACGCTCTCGTTCGGCATTTGGATGCGTGATTGGATGGCCCGTTCCGCTCGTTCACGGCGATGGGGGTCAGCGTAACTTGCCAGCAGCTGACGGCAAAACATCGTCCACGACGAGAAGGGTTCGCGGTTCTCGTACCAAGTACGAGCTCCGTCCTCAAGGCTGAAATATACATTCCGCAGCTTGTTGGCGTCGGTCCACTCGTTGAAAGCCGCAACGCGTTCAAAGTGAGCCAACCAGTCCACAACATCCTCCAACATGGAGCCACGGAACACCTTCGGCACTCGTGGCTTCTGCAGCGTGTAATTAGCCATCGGAATATTTTCCGTACCGCTCTGGGGTGGTGCAGTTGATGCCATCTCCGGTAGAGGTTCACGCTCGGGGGACAATCCTCGGATTCTCCGGCTGGCCCGGTGGACAGGTGTTGCGACTGCGGGTATAGGGCTCCCAGGAGGCGTTTGGATCATTGACTGGGAATACCCAGCGACTCCACCAGTTGTCGCGCGTGAACAAGAGGGACTTCAGATAAAGAATACCGCGTAGTCACAGAGGCGCAGGTCAGGGACACCACAACCAAAAAACAAAAGCCTCGGCGAGAGCGCGCTAGCCCAACAACTTCTTCCTTGTTTCTTCTCCTCGATGCGGGCTCGTGCTCGCCGCAGTTCATGGCCAGGTGGCAATATAATAAATACTCCCGTCATTGCACCGTAATGTGAACTTCGTTTCGATCACACCAACGTCCGTGGTCTAACGCGATCGCTGACGGAACGTCAGAACATAAGTCGCCGCTTGAGTGCCAGTGCAGTCAACGTCCACGGCGTGCACACAATGACCACACTTACAAGAACAAGTCGATCTGCCTCATAACGCCTGGCTCATGGAAAAAAAAAAACGCTGCATGGACAATTCGGCCATAGCCGACTGCTTTGCATGGAACCGATTCCCAAAGCGTGTGGCGTCTGCCGTATTGTTTACATGAAGGCGTATTCTGCTTGACTTTTTACTCTTGTAACAACTACTAAGGTTTCCTCGGCTTTGATGTGCACTTCAGTAAGCCGGCCCTTTCAAGACCGTCTCTGAAGATACCACAGGCGTACTCGTCAGCCAAGACAGACACTTTTCACTACGATTACGTGACCTGTAGACCATCGACTTGGCGCGTGCAGTTCTTATTTCCACGTGTGTATAATGTGTACTACGTGCATCATCCTTCGCGCGAAATAGCAAAAAAGGGGCGTGCGACGAATTTTCAACGGTCCATCGAATCGCGTGGTCGGCCAGCCCGCCCGCGACCCCGAATCGGGCCGCGGGACGCTTCCTGGTCGTTGTATTTTTCGGGGCCGTGTCATAAATACAAGCGTCATTCGCACCGATGGGTCGTGAGGTCTCGTGCAACCGCCCCGTTTACTGCCACGTCAGGATTGAAACATAGGAAAAAAAGGGCGAGTCCGTCGCGGCACGAGTGCGCGAATAACGTCGGTGATCTCGGGGGCCCCCTGTTATTTGGGTGCACTCGGAGATTGCCGATGGCAGTGCCACATGCATGATGATGGTCGTTGCCCACCTGCATGATATCGTGATGTCCTTTAATCGAGCGTGACCTTCGCGCAACGCTGCTGCATATATCGGACCGTAAAGCGTGAACACGGGCTATTCGGAGGACTTGCGGCCTGGTAGGCACGTTATTTGGCATGGGAACACCTATATAGCTTGTCACGTCGGCGTAAGTCCTTGAAGATATAATTGGATCGTTTTATTTCTTCCTTTTGTTGCTTTGAATTTAGCCAGACACATTGTAGACATCTTCAAGGTGGCGAAAAGAAATAAAGTACCTAAAGATAATTTCCGAGAGCAGATGTCTCCCAGTCGACATAAACACGTAATAAGTAATAATTTGCGAAGAAGGTTCTTAATATGACAGAAACAGGACATACAGAGTAGTAGTAATATTGTCAATTGTGCCCAGCCCTGAACTCGTGATTGCCCGTGGGTCTAGAAAAGTTTTGCGGCTGTACAGATGGACAACGCAGTCACGGCGGGCACAGTTCCTGACTTACAGTGTGAGTCTATGTATGGTAGCTCTTATTGCAAGTGAGCATTTGCTGAAAAATTGAGGGTAAACTGCCTGTTTGCATAATTTATCTCTGATACTCAGGTTCGGCGGGGTCGGGTCCCGTGTCTGTGCTTCCAGGCCACTTCATAGTGTAATGGAGGGTCGCAACAGCTGTAGAACTCGCTGTCATCTCGCTCGGAGCCTGTCGAGAACGCTCCCATTCGCGTCACTCGGCCCTGCGAGCGGAACAACTTTGTCCGGCAGCGCCTCCCTGTCTCCTGTCTGGACACGTGTCGGCGGTGGTGGTGCACGCTTTTCTGCATTTTTTATTTAAGTTTGCGGGTGCCTGTCTTGTACTGCGGTCGTCCCAGTGGCTCGAGGCTGCGTAGCGCTTCGTAATTACAGCCCGGACCCCTCGGTGACTACGGCTCGACTCGTCTCTCATCTTTAGAACGTGTCTCGGACCACCCTCTTGCTCTCCTTTATTTTACCCCCCCCCCCCTGACGCGGATTTTCTGCTCATTTTACTGTCTCTCTCCCTTGACCGGAGGGACTCGGTCTGTAAAATTGGTCTTGCGCAACCGCGTGATCATTGCGGGGCCCGGTTAATAACCAGTTCCAAATGGCGCCGCCCTGTCCTGGTTCATTTCTTTGTTTTCTCGCCTAGACTGCTGCAGCGTGCGTTCTAGGGTAAACGTTTTTTGCTTGTTTGATTGTTTTCGACTATTCTCGTGGAATGCTATTTGTCACGCGCGACGGCTAAAGACAACGCTCGACCTACGGGCCACCCTCGGAAACGAGCTGCGCCGTTCAATAGCACTGTTCGGTATAGGCGCTGTGTTCCACATCGAGTATGGAGTGTGTCTTGCCGAGCGCCGACTTCGGTGCTGGGGCGGTGTGTGGATGTCGCGCCGTTAGCATCGGACACTCGATCGTGTACTCATGCGGCTGCTGGAACTGTGGATTTTGTGCCTTAGAAATCGCTTGTAGCCTCTAGCAGTATCTGAGTGCTTAATATGTGGTGCCGTACTTTTCGCTGTCGTGTTTATTCCGTAGAAAGTTCTTTGGATATTCTAGGAAAGAGTTCGCTCGAAGTGAGGGGTTTTGAGCATATGAAGATATAAGACTTACCGAAATTAGGTATGTGGTCGGGGAAAAAGGACAGAATAGAAAAAAATAGCAGTTTTACATCTACACAGTCCCGGTACATCGACCGTACCGGTCATGGCCGGTCATGGGTTTCAAAGGCCGGTCATGGATTTCAAGGCCAATCATGGGTTTCAAGCTTTGTGCTCACTTGTGGTGCGTTTCAACCTACTGTTTCGGGGGTGTGCATTCGTTTCCCCTAAATGTGTCTTTGACAGTTCAGTTGTAGCAATATTTTGTGGGGCCGTTTCGCTATGTGGCTATTTCTGTGTTTTCATTATAACTGCATAATTGCTGATGTTTTATCGACAGCGAAAATCAGAGGGTATACAAAACAAGACCGACACACATGCGGTCATGTTTGTCTACTTTCATGTTTTTCGTCGTCCCTCTTGTTGACATTGCTGGAAACATCTACAGTTACCCATTGCCACCAACTTGCCGAAACAGCTGTCATGACCAAATAGTTTTCTTTTCGCATGTCGTATCCATGGTTTTTCTATGCACAGATAACCTCATACGCATTTATCTGTATTTTTTTCCAGGTTCCTGTCCTTACACTGCCAGCTGTTCCCGAACTTCAGCTTCTGCCCGAGGTAGCGACACGCCTGACGCGCTCGCTCTGGATCCATTGCGCGGAGCGCAGCGCGGAATGTGCCAACAGCCACCATACCTGCCAAGCACCTGGAAGAGAACGACACACGCCGCCAAACAGCAATAAACAGATCCTGCATCCGCTGTGTCTATTGGTGCGCAGGCGTGCGTGCTTTAGTTCATCGAGAACGTAGCAGAGAGCTTCAGTGTAGTGTCTGAAACTGCGGTGCAGAACGTGCTCCTGAAGGATTTCGCGACCCTGGACTCGGCGAGTCGTGACGACAGCCTTTGGAACGTGAGCGGTGATTGGACGATGGCCATGCGAACTACTTGTTGGTGTGACTCTTGTCTACTCCTTGGAAAAACATCAGTGCATCGCCTTCTGCCGACGTTTCTGCAATATAGCTGTGTATAACCGGACTTTTTAAGTTGACGTTCGATTTGCCGAGGCCTTCCTTATCGCAGAGCTGGCCGGACTTCTTTGCCTCGTGTATCAAGACACCAACTAGGGGATCTTGCATTGCGTTTTTTTACATCTTGAACGCGGCCGTATTTTTTAGAGCTGTCTGGGCTTTGGGCTGTGTCAGTGAACGGGGCTCATGCTTGTCAAAAGTGCATAATTCGCGGCCTACTCTAATAGAGGCTGAATAGCTTATGACCCTTGTAAGCTACCCCTAGGGCCTCAACCCTAAGATGACTGCGGACTCGAGGCGACGTATGCAAGTAAGCAAGCCTGAACGCTGCCTATTTCAGTGGTGAATGAACATTCTGTGCAACTCATAGTGCCGACAGAATGTACGAGCTCGGAGGTAATATGCGCTGCATGGACTTCCGTCATTAGTGCGAAATTTCTGTCACATGCTCACATCGATTCGCTACCACAATATAATAAATCCTGACGGGCTGAGAAGTCTGTCATCTTGAAAGATTTTAAATTTGAATGCTCGCGACGTCACTTGAACGAAACGAATTGCTGTGTGCCTCCATATACAGTGCACACGATTCGACGTATACGTTGAATCGGGCTAGCTGTGACAGAAATGGCAAGACTGTCGCAACGTAATGCTTGTGTTGCAAACGCTAAGGGATCGATTGCCCAGAAGGCAAGTCTAGGGAAATTTAAAAAAAAAGGAAGTCTTTCACAAAATTGTGAACATATCTGAAGAAATTTCGCAGCGTGCGTCATTGAAAATAGTAATGGATCGTAATGGATTCCGAGCCTTTTGTTCTCAACGATACGTGTTCAACGTGTAGGCGTTCGACCCTCATCAATTTCCTTCGACATGGGCCCTTTTGTGCAGTGTGTGCATTACTTCTTTATCTTTAGGAAACCGGTGTTTCTGTTTCTCCCTGAAGAGTACTTCACACCACCAGTATGGCACATATGTGTCCAACGTGTTCAATGGCGAATGCATGTTCGCTGGTGCGTAGACGGACACGCAGTCAGAAGTTGTGCCCGGACCGCGCGATGAGCTCACCCAGAAACGTAGTCTGAAGTTTTCTGAATTCATGTCCGTTAATTGCCAGTCGTATTTACTCCGACGGCTTAAAGGTTAGACTTCAGTTACGGCTTTTTCGGGACGTCGAACCCCAACAATTATTAATTATTATTATTAGGAACGGCTTGCGCTCGTTTATCAGAAAAAGAAAAAAAGAAAAACGGCCTTCGGATGACGACGCATGTGAGCTGCTTTCAAAGCTCTCGACTGAACGTACAAAGTCGAAAAACAACCCCACCCGACCACTTCAATTTTTTTTTTCCTCGCCTCTGAAGTTTTGCAGGAGGCGAGCGAGTCGCGTAACAGCAGTAGTCTGACCGGTGGTCACGTGTAATACCTCGGCTGTCGCTGGTCGGTGCGGAAGCAACGACCTGTAATTGCGTCCCCGTCGTCCGCGTTTAATTGGGCAGGCCGTTTTTCTTTTCGTTTAACGCTTCTGTTGTTTTTTCTCTCGTTCTGGTTCCTTCGGACACCTCGGGAATGCCGCCGCTGCGTGCGAGGTCGGTAGCCGAGCCGAAGCTCCACGCAAATAGCCGCGAGCCGCTCTGGCGCCGACCATTCAAAGTCGAGTCTAGAACGCCCGAGCGAAGAATCATGTCCATTTGGCGCCGGTGACCGCGTCGTTTAAGGACTCGCGAGGAGGCATTTCGCATGACGCGTCACATTTTTCTACGAACATAGGACGCCGTGTAATTAGCTATGCGCCGAGGGTTGGACTCCGTTTTTTATCGTTACTACTGTGGCATTGTTTTTATTTATTTATTTCTCTTCGAAGAAGAAGGATCACATCAGTGGTCGCTATTTTTGACCTGCCCGCTCAATATAATTTTCGGGTCTCTCGAAAGAAGCGGACAGAAATACTCGGACTGCCTTAATCTTTAGCTATCTAACCGATAACATAACCTGGCGAGCCATGCGTAATGGCATGTGGACCAGTCCTGGTACTTCGAGATAGGGCTAACAAAGTTGTTCGCCTCATCACGTTCGCTAAACTAGTGAAAAATGCTGGATTAGAGAGAAAGGTCGCCTTCTGATATGTACATGCATTCTGGATGTGCTGGTTCAACCCTGGTAACGCATATATCGCTTAGCTAAATGAAAGGCTCCAACGATACACCACGAAGGGTCTGCTAACGTGCGCTCAGAATTTTTTTTTTCACAATCGTTTTAAAACGAGCAATCTTGAAAGCTATATTTCAAAGGTGTGGCGCAACGCGTTTAGGTCGTATTAATTTACAGACTGGAAGTATTGTGTAAATATGCGTGTACATAATCTAGTTTACAATTTAGGGCCTTCCTCGTCACCAGAAGGACGAGTGTTTAAGAGTGCCTAAAGTAGTCTTTTTCTTTTGTATTTGTGTACATATGACAAGGAAACGAAAAAGAATCGAATGGATGGAGTGTTCTATTGTATTTTGTACACCTGACTTCCACAGCCAGACGGCTCTTTTTCTTTAGTCTTGTTGTTATTGTTGGGCTGTAACGGCAATGAGAGTGCATGAATAGGAAAATAATAGATTATTACGTGTTTGAAGGAGACGCTTTGTTCGTTACTTCTTTCTTTCTTTACGCTGTCTTCAAGAAGCGAATTGCGCAGTGCCATCTATAATTGGGTACAGCTTACAGGAACACTAGTGAGAAGAACGATTTTTCACGTATTGGCAAATTACTATTTCGCAGTTACGAAATCACCTCGTTCGCTGCAAGGAGGTTCTTGGTAAGTGAGAAAACACACAAAACGTAAATGCGAGCGGTGACAACATTTTGAAATTTTTGCATCAAACGCCGTGACCTAACAGATATTGACATCGTCTACTAGATCCCTAGCGGCTGCTAATCGTTAAATGTACAAGTCATTGTCATCTCAGAGTGCCGTGGAGTTAGCGTACCTAGTTTCGTTAAATTCTTAATTTCTTATATATATATATATAATATATATATATATATATATATATATATATATATATATATATATATATATATATATATATATATATATATATATATATATATATATATATATATATATATATATATATATATATATATGGTGGGGTGATATTCAATGAATCCGGTGGAAAATGCAGTATAAAAAGAGGTCGACAAACGTGCGAAAAAACACTAGTTTTACTAATGTTTCGGCAGGTGGGCCTGCTTTCGTCGGAGTGAATGCACTCCGCATTCACTCCGACGAAGGCAGGCCCACCTGCCGAAACGTTAGTAAAACTAGTGGTTTTTCGCACGTTTGTCGACCTCTTTTTATACTATATATATATATATATATATATAATATTCGATTCTCAGACCGTGATTTTTCCAACACCACTGTCTGCAAATTTGACGAACGATCTTTGAAACCAAGCGTGATCATTAAAATTTTAAAAACGAGGCTCATACAACACCCCTAACATTGATAATAAAAAAGCTAATTGAAGTAATATTGCTAAATATTCACTACGGAAATATTTAAACGGGTTTAAAATCTTTTCGCCTCAGTCTAGAAACTGGCTGTGAAGACAAGTGCTTACCTATTATAGGTTTTTAAAGGAGCACTGATCTCAAATTTACTCATGCCAAGACTTTTGCGTCAGCGAGTAGCTGACGCAAAATCGCTGCTACTTCAGTAGCAGTGATTCGGGACGTACAACGCAACTGATGAATAAATAAATATCACTTTTATTGATTTATATCACTGGTATCTAGCACTATTCAAAACGGCCGGCAATCCCGCCATTTTTGGCGCTAAGAGCACCAGCAGGGGCGCTACCTCACGTTCACCTTCAGATCACGCCACACATGACCACTTCTCTATAGAACAGAGTGACGTCAGGCTCAGTTACTCCGGAAACATTTCGTTAGCTAGGCGGACACATTCAGTCGTGTCTTGTCACCTGCGTTGCTGTCGTCGCCGTAAAAAGTGTCGACTCGGGTTCAATACGATAGTCTGGAGCTTGGACTCCCCGCAATTCGCGACGTCGCGAATTATTTATGCTTTGATCGACCTTTTGCAGAACAGTGATTCCGAATTGGACGCTGTTCCAAGCAGCACTGCAGAGGCGTCCGAGGATGCACGCTTCAGCCATGTTCGCTCGTGTGTCTCAGTTAGCTATATTGGTGTGTTTTGGCGTGCAAAGCATTCAGGTATACGCAGAGGAGTCAATGCAATATAGCTATCGCGAATGAGCATCAGCAGAGAAATAGAATACGTTTTCTACTTGCCAGGTTCTTTTTAGCGCCTCCAGATGGCCCCACTAGTGAGCCTCTCGCGGTTTGCACGGTATTTCGACTTTTACGCGTACGCAAAGTCTACAGATGAACTAAAATTCAACGATACCTGCGTGTTACTTGTTAGCGATGATATCTGAGTATACGCTGTTCCACTTTTGATAGCTTGTGGTCGCGTTGATGTGTAGCACATACGTGATATGAAAAGACACCCTCATTGCGCTTTTTCCGTGCTTTGAACTAGACGACTGCAACTCGCCTGTCACTCACAACGATTCCCCGACATGCTTACCGACAAGCACACGTTTAATCATGCTATTTTCTTTCGCCGTTTTTTTAAGGTGGTTTTTATCGTGATAATTTTACGAAATCATTCGAACCGTTGCGCCCAAGATCAGACGCGACGAGCGAGTGCGTTTCTGCGCTTCAGCGCCGGTTGGCGCCACAATAAGAACACTCGGATCGTACTCGTCATCACTACTAGGGTATAGTCACTCAGGATGGTATTTGTGGAATGTATCACACCGAACACGTAGCACTGGTGTCAATGTCGCAGGGCAGTCTATTTTCAGTTTTTTTTTCTCCTTAGCGTTACTATACGCTGTTTGACATCGAATTAAGATAACTTCCACACGACGGATGCCGTTCAAATTTGCCCAAGAAGACTTATTCATACCAAGCGATCGAATGATGGGCACATCTCGATCTTGAAATTTGATGTTTCTGCAGTGTGCGTTGCCTCACTCATTCTGAAAAGCTATATGGGGCCGCATTTACACCGGACTTGCTTCGAAGCCAGAACCTTGAGACATGAAACACTGCTTGGTGCATGTACGACAAATTTTGTGGCGCACGAACGACTAAAAGACAGGAAATCATTGGATGCTTGATTCTAGTTGGTTTGTACACGAACCTTTGCGGAAATGTCGTGGTGACTGTGCCGCTGTGCGCGCAAAGATAAGATAATCTGAAGTTATATTCTATCTGTAAGTTCTAAAGTCAAGTTGGTTCATTAATGTTATACTAGTGCAATGTTTTACGAATCTAGTTAAAGCGACGGGCTTAACAGCGCTTACGAACTTGCACGTGAAAACACCATTGAACGGGGCACATTGGACTGCGGTAGAGTGCGCACGAGACGGAAATTCCGACGTGGTTGGCTCACCTACAGCTTTGATCAATCGAATGAAAAGTATCTGAAGCGTTAAATTATTCACTAGACCAAGGTTACGAGCCACCTGTGCTTTGACGCAAACGTACTGAGCCAAGTCACTTTAGCGAGAAAAACAGAAGCGTGTGCCTCTCATTTAGGCTCGCAGAGTACCAAGCATACATTATATGAATAGTCCAACGTTGAGTACTCCGCTTTGGTGTGCTTTTCGCAGACCTCTTTGCCAGAGCATTGAGACTGACTGCATTTACTGTATTCATGTGATTTCTTTATTTTCGTGTTTCGTTCGCATCTGTATTACTCAAAGCTGTCAGAATCCGAACTCAGCTGAGTATCCATTCGCAGGTGAACTACTCTCAAGTATTCGCCCCACATCATTGTTAAAATCAGCCTGGCGAAGACAGCTGAATCACTCGCCGTGACGCTTCGCCGCAACCTCCAGTTTACGGCTACATTCACCGCGAATGACTTTCTGAAGGAATAAAATTTAACCGGTTTGGCGTTCTCAGGCCCTTCGTCCTCTTTGTCGGCTACACACGCGCTTTGCCAAAATGCATTGCGGCAGCCTACATGTAGCATAACCCCAGTCGGCAAAGGCGCTGTCTCAGTGCATCTAGACGTCACGTCATTGGCCGAGTGGTACTGCTTCAGTCGTGTGACGTGTACGATGTCGCTGGCCCGAGGGGTGAATGAAGACGACGAGGCAGCAACAGCGATTTTATAAGTGACGGGAGTCGCCGCACGAAGCACTCTGTGTGGCCCTGTATACGGTAAGAGCAGTTTGTCAGACAGGCCAACGTACATGGTTGGAGACCAGAGCAGAACCAATGAACCGGGCGAAAGGCGCACATCGCGGTGTAGTTGATCCCACCGACGCCGTTAGTTTTCTTGGGAGGTCACAGGGCGAGCACGAGCAGCTTCGCGTGTGTGGGCGGCCCGGCTGATGGCGTCCAGGGCATATTCTGTGGTCGGAGCTGCTGGCGACGGAATGACTGCATCGAGGGGCAGTGTGGGTTAACGACCGAACAACAGGAAAAATGGGGAATAAGCAGTTGAATCTTGGCGCGAAGAATTGTACGCAAGTGTCACGTATGGTAGAGCGAGGTCCCATTCAGAGTGGTCTGGAGAAACGTATTTTGAAAGCATTTCGGTTAGGGTTTGTGGCGCGTTTCACATTAGCGTAGGATGTCCGCTATGACTCTCGATAGAAATGTGTGACATCGGTCCTTGACCAGCTGGAGTGGAGCACCATGTTGCAAGATCACGTCGCGTAGAAGAAAATCGGCGACGCCCGTGGCGCAACTTGTTGGAAGGGTGCGTGTGATGGCGTAGCGTGTGGCGTAGTTAGTGACCAGAGCTATTCACATAATGCCAGCAGAAGACAGAAAAAAAAGGGGCGAGTAAGTCCAAGCCGACGCGAACGAAAGGTTCAGAAGATATGTCGAGTGGTTGAAGGCGCCCAGCCGGAAGCGTCGATGGTGTTTTGCGGCGCTGACATCCCTAACACACTGCGATGTATCGTCTGACACAGCGTGCGAGACCTGGCCAATAGAAGCGACGGTGAATCCGGTCGTATGTGTGGGACACGCTGGGGGGGGGGGGGGTATAAGTGAAAAGAAAGAAAAGAAAAGTGAGCCCCGTAACTGTCTCTTAGGGGGACGACACCTCAACAGTGGCTCACGAGGGATGGGGGTAGAGAAAAGATTAACAGGATAGGATTAAAAGGTAAAGAGATAGAGAGAGAGGAAGGAGAGAGCGAGGCGCATGGACAGCGAACGACAGAAGTAAGGAGAAGACAGGAGAGATGGACATAGTTGCAGGAGTCCGAGGATGGAGCACCACTGGCGAGAGCTCTTGTCGGCGTCAGGAGATAGCGTAGGGCAAGTCCAGTAAGCCAGAGCTACGCTGTCGTCGAAGATCGGCGTCAGGAGGTGGCGTAGGACCAGCCCTGTCGGCCAGAGCTGGAGTGTCGTCGGAGATTGAAAGGGCACAACCGGTCGGCACGGAATCCAACGAGTGAGTCCTGTGGGACACGCCGAGGTGACCGGTAGTAGGAACGTCGTGAAGTTCCTGGAGTACAGCCGAGCTGAGGTGTTTGTGCACAGCAAGTAGCAGAGATGGGCCGTCTGGATGGAAGTCTG